ACAGTGGCCACAGGGCTTCCACAGTGGCCACAGGGCTTCCACAGTGGCCACAGGGCTTCCATAGTGGCCATAGGGTAAAAGGCGGTGAAGCTAAATTGACGAATTCGGCTTAGCTAGCGCCAAGAATGAGCCCCTGTAAACCTGTCGAGCACAAATGGTACATCTGGTAACAACCCCACACAATCCACTAGTACCTTTTACAGCGGGGCCGCAGTCCCCGGGACTGAGTCTTAGTCTCATGATCACGGCCTTAGTCCACAAAACTGATGGGGCTTCTCCGATGGGACTTGTCGAATTGTCAAACGGGTCCCATTGATACCGACCTACTATCACCAGTGGTTGGAAATTCCACACCGTGGTGGCATGTCGTCGCAGTCGCGGGCATCACCCCCCCAACTCAACCACGACAGAGTCAAGCTCTCAAAAATTTTGTTCGCTTTATATTCATAAACTTATGGAAGCAAAATTGGCATCTGGATACTTGAAACATATTACGTCTATAACTAAAATTATCAGGCTCCTGTTACCTGGGAAGCTTCACAGGAAGCATTGCAATAATACACATGGCCTGCAGTAAGCTTTCTTCCATTTACCGTCCATTTTAACATGGCTTTATACTGATACGCCAGTTTTACTTCATGTTAGCTTGGAAACGACTAGACGTTCACTGCCGAAAGATGCAACGTCACTCTGCCCAACGGCTGGAGTGGGTGTCCTTGTTACCGGCAAGTGTTGGGAGCTATTTTCTCCTTTTTTCACCACATTCGTCTCCCTCTCTTGAGGTCGATGGTCTGTGTCCTGTGCCAAAGAAAACCCCGGCTAGATCACACAAGTGGATGAGGTCGTAATTAGTTGGACTGTCAATCGTGATAGGAACTTTGAGGTAGGAACAACTTACAACAACAACGTGCAAGGTTGTACCCGCGAGCGGACGGCAGACGGTTCGTCGCACCAGTCACAAAAGTGGCGGCCATGCTTTAACCCGCCATTTAACCTTTTCCCGCCATGTAACAACGTGCGCCAACGGCAAAGGCTGAGTGAGGAGCCAAGCCAAGTCGAAGTCGAAATCTAGAGTTTCGTGCCTGTACCCTAGCGCCACTGATGCACTCTAGTTGATGGTCGGGTATTTGCAGGGCCGGTCATGCACAGACCGACGGCATAATTTTTCAAAGCTTCGGCTTCGGATCAGCGTTCTCGCACGGAACTTTGTATCGAAGATCCCATGGGAGCGAGAACCGTACGCGGGCGGTGGAGCTGTCTCACAGTCAACTTGGTCGAAGCCACAGTGTCATTTACCCCGGCCGTTTTAAATAACTAGTTCAGAATCATCAACTAGTCGGCACGTACGGGGGCCACAGTGCTGATAGTCAGGGCAAAGACGGGCGCCGAGATGGAAGCCAAAAAGAAGTGCTCAGTGCTCCTTCCATCTGTCGCTCGCCCACCTACCCTGCAGCCAACCGACTGAGCACCACCCTTCTAAAAAATCGAGAGAAGACGATGTTTTCTTAAATTCTCTGATCGAACGCCGAGGATTGCTTCTTGCCCGATTCATTGTTTGAAAGCCATATCGCCACCAAGTTGGCTTGCGCCCTGCCAATGGCACTGAGGCTGTCTGTCAGTGGAACCCGGGCCCCTCCGGAGGCGGGCTCACACACTCGATGAAACAAACATCTGTCTTTGCGCAGAACCGTCTTGCACCGTTCTCGGTATGCGACTTCTTGTACTATCCCATACAACACAAGGTTTGTTCTAGCACCACATCAAGATTGAATGCGCGAGCATTACCTCTGGTTATATTCCACCTCGCGCTGAGCCTGTTCCGGGCCCATTGTCGCGCGCCAAAATGCCGTCGTTTGCCGAGATTGCGTCGTTGTTGGATGCGTCGTCGATATTCTTGTTTCTCGTCACACTCGTCGTCTTTTCCATACCCGTCTTCATCATCTTCCCGCCCATCCCGGTGGAGAGGTCCGATGCACTCGGGCAGACGCACTCCAAGGTCGGGATCCCACAAAGGGAGAGCAACCTGCGCGACCAATACCAAACGGCGCAGACACGCTCCCACGGAGCCAACGGCCACGCCGCGACGTCTCAACCAACGCCCAAGATCCACAGCCTGCACATTTACCCGCTCAAGTCATGCCGCGGCATCGAGCTGACCGAGGCCACGGTGCTGCCCACAGGCCTGGAGCACGACCGTGTATTCTGCCTCGCCCAGCGGAAAACCAGGAAGCGGACCGGACGTGATGCCGCGCCTCCCGAGCCTGCCGCCTCGCTCGCAGACACCGTCGACTACTGGGAGGTGCTGACGCTGCGGCAGATGGCGCCCATGGTTGGCATCAAAGTCGACCTGTGGCTGCCCGACAGCTCCAAACACAGCCGCCAACTCGGACCCATGACGGCCGACGACGGCACCGGCCACAGCGACAGCTTCCTCGTCGTGCGCTTTCCCTGGCGCAGCGCAGGCGTCAAGGGATTCGTCGAGACGGTGGCGGCCAAGCTGAGCCGAGGGCTATCCGCCACTCCCGAGCGCGAGTTTATGCTTTCCATGGGCTTTCCGTCCGACCGTGAGGTAAAGGCCCGCGGCTACTCCCACGCTGAGGTGACACACTTTCGGAATGTGATACCGGCCCTCAACATGGGGGCCGAGTTACCCACAGAGCTTGCTCTATACCTCGGACTCGAACCCGGCCAACTGGCCGTCTTTCGCCTGGATCCTGACCACCGTCGGCAAGTTTTTGACTGCGCGCCAACTCGCGAGGTGGCCGGCTACCAGCCTGAAATTGACTTTCAGGATGCAGTAAGTAGAACCTAGTTCATTGTCTTCAACTCCTCTTTCAATATATTACTCATATGGCAACTGCACGTCCCCAGCCGACCTGAACGGCTTACCCCCCCTCTTCTGAGTTCATTGTCTCAACGAACTTAGCGTTGTTGCATCGCAGCAACATGGAACAGCGCTCCGGCGGTCCACACATATCTGCTTCCCGCCATCCGTAACCATTAGCCCTATCTGATGAGCCGATATTCACATGCTTCGAGGATCCAACCCGACCAAGACTGAAAACTCTAATTGACTGACGTGATCGGCATTAGTACCCGCTACACTTGCTCAATCTCAGCAGCGTTCGAGCTTTGGAATCAAAGATTCGCCGGGATGCAGACATTGATCGACTGGATTGCCGCCGGTTCAGGCCCAACATTGTCGGTGAGTGTAGAGTATATTCAGCTCGGCAATTCTTTCGTCATATCTCGCTAGACAAGAGTTTCTCCGTGTCGCTAGCACAACTGCCACGCATCATTCGCAAATGCTATTGTACCTATGCCTTTCACTGACATTTTACTGCCACTTTAGTTTCTGGCCTCCCAGAGTACGATGAGGATGACTGGAAGTCTATCCGGTTCAAAGCGGCGAGTCGCAAGGACACAGATGCTCTCTTTGATGTCTCTTGTCGAACTGTTAGGCAAGTTATTCCTTTACATGACTTGGAAAAAAAGAACACATGCTACGCTCCCCAACGGGAATATCTGTCCATGCAGCTAATCTATCGTCTTGCGCTGCAGATGCAAATTACCCAATGTCGACCCAGCTACTGGGGTGAGGCACAAAGTAGAGCCAGATTACGCCCTCCGACACTACCGAGAGATCGATGCCGGTGCTCCGAAGAAGGGCTGCATGGGCATGCAAATGTGCCCGCTCTTCTCGACTGACGGCGTGCAAGATGACCTGCAATCCACGATCCGAGTTGGCATGGAGATTGCCGTTCTCAAGCGAGGGACGCATCGTGCCTTGTGAGGACTTGAACGCACCACTTCCGCCGCGCCAAAGGCGACATTGTAAACCATTTCATGTTCATCATGATGATGTATCTCTTGTATTAAAATGTTATCAAATAAAACAAACAGAAAAGCAATTCTCCACGCTCCCAGTACTTCCAGTCCCATATGCAGCAAATCATGAGCGACATAAAATAATAACTCGTTTCCGGCGACGAGGCACATGTACAAAAATATCAACACCGGTAAAGCCATTCCCTTTTTGGATTCTACTTGAGGTCGGCTGGTGTCAAGGCTTGCACCATACTGGTGCCTTCGCTGAAGCGTGTTCGGAAGATGCGGTTTGCATTCTGGAACATGCCGTCTTTGAGACTGACGACGATAAACTGCGAGCCCTTGAAGCGCGTCTTGATGAGACGTCCAATGTTCTGCGTATGCGACAGATCCAGGGCAGCGTCCACCTCGTCCAAGATGTACATTGGCGCCGGCTTGAACTGTAGGAGCGCCATGATCAAAGACAGGGCCACCAAGGAGCTGGAAAGAAGAGTCAGCATTTTGTAGACCCAAGATGGAAAACCAAAGTTTGTGCAGAAGAAGATAATAAGCATACCGTTGACCCCCGCTCAGTTCCGTGAGACTTTGCTTCCACACCTTGCCGAGACAGACCTTGACCTCGAGACCGTCGCCAATCGTCTTGCCTTCGGGAGGATCAAGCTTGGCGAAACTGCCACCTGGCAACAGCTCAGAGAAGATTTGGCCAAAGTCGCCGTTGACCTTTTCCCACGTTTCCCGCAGGGCCTTCTTCTTGTAGTCATCAAGACTGAAAATGGTTTCCTCAATCTTCCTCTTATCGCGAATCACAGTCTTGATCATGTTCTTGAGAGATACCTCCTTCTTCTCCACACTATCAATCATGTTCATGACCTTTGGGTTAATCTTCTTCTTCATGCCTTGCGAGCGTTCCGTCAAGTTGCGAAGAGTCGATTTGCTTTCGGCAATGTTCTGGGCTTTGAAGTCATATGGCGTACCACTGCGACCAAACTTCTCGTGCTCGTCATGAATCCAGTCATGGTCGCCTTCCAGTCGAGATACATTTTCAGCTGCAGTTTGCTGCTCCTTGTTGAACTTTTCAACCTGATGCCCCAGCTTTTGCATCTCCAGGCCTTCTTCAGCGATACGAGCAGTTTTTGAACGCGTAGCTTCATCAAGTGCGCGCAGCTCGTCATCGAACTGGTTCAATTTGGCGCGTTCATCATCTAGATCAGCTTGGATGGATTCGTGAGCCTTTTTCAGCTGGACTTGCTGCTCAGTGACCTCTTGCATGTCATTTTCTTGAGTTTTGATGTTGAAGCCCGTTTCATGCAGTTGGTCTCGAGCCGCCATGATATCAGTGTTTACTTGCTCCAAGTCAAGCTGCGCACCCTGTAAACGCTTTTGTAGAGCTTTTACAGCTCCTGTGTTTTTTTGCAGATCGGTACGAAGCTTATCAACTGACTTTTGAAGCTCAATAAGCTTCCCATCTTTGTTGCTGTCGAAGTCTTTCATATCCTTCTCGATACGCTTAACATCGGCATTGGCTTCGGCTTGACGGGATTTCGCTTCAACAATGCCCTCTAGAAGCTCAGCGATAGTGGTTTTCATGTTCTCAACCTCCTGTATGATGGAGGAAGAAGAGTTTCCGCTGATTTGCTCTTCACTCAGCTTGATCTCGTGGTTCTTCAGGTCCAGGTCTTGCTTAATGCGGCGAGCTTGGTCGATCTTTGACTTTTCCTTAGCCATCTTTGCCTGGACCTGCTTGAGAGAGCCCTCGGCGTCATTAAGCTCACGTGTTAAGTTGTTGAGTTGCTGCAGTGTAACGAGGACGCCGCTCGAGGTCGGAGCACTGCCACCGGAGAGAGTTCCTGAGGGATCATAAGAGTCTCCCTCGAGTGTGATACTCCGCATCTTGACGCTGGGATCAAACGTGACACGCTTAGCGGTCTCTGCATCGTCGCAGACAAGGGTGTTTCCGAACACGTACTCCATAGCAGAGGAAACCTCATCGTCATATCCAACCAGCGACAACGCGAGATCGACTTTGCCTGGGGCGATATTTTGGGCGGTCGCAATTGTCTGCGCAGAGGCTTTAAAGGCGGAAATTTTGTTCAGGGGAATAATAGTCACACGTTTCCTGAGTTTGCCCTTTTGTAGAAGCTGCGTACCCGTGACTTCTGAGTCGACTACCACGTTGTACAGGCGACCGCCAGCACATATTTCCAGTGCCGTTCCTGCTTTGGTGTGATTTTTGTCGAGGGTAAAAAGCTGGGCGACTAGACCCTTGACCTTTGAGCGATCAAAGTTGGGCACTGGGTCTGCGTAGTTGAAGTCAATGTTGGCAACCTTCCTCTTCAGCTTATCCGATTCTTGACGAAGGCCACGAAGAGTTTGTTGCAAGGTGGATTCTTGCTTGTACATTTCCTCCTCTTGACCAGGCTCAAACCCAAGCTTGGCCAGCTCCTTCGCGAGCCTCTGGGCCTGTGATTTTAGCCCCTCATGATCGCGCAGTAGGCCGGCATTCTGCTCCCTGGCCTTCTTTGCTCGTGGCTCTTCTTCCTTGACTCTGCTCTGCAAGTGGGTGATTTTGATCTTGGATTGTTCTTGCGCAGTGGCAGCCGCATTGGCGCGACTCTTGGCGTCTTGTAGTTGGCCTTGGTAACCATTTTCCTGGCCATCCTTGGAAGCCACACCGGTTTGAAGTGTCTGTAGCAGCTCTTCTTTCGATTCCACCTCTTCGGCTTGCTTGGAGAGGCTGTCTTTCTCAGCGTCACAGTTCGCCTTTGCCGTATTGAAGGTAGCTGTCTTTTCTTCCAGTGTGGCCTCAAGTTCAGCGACCGTCTTTTCCAGAGCAAGTTTCTTGTCCTTCTCTTCTGCCAAGCTAGAGGTCTTTAGATCCATTATTGTCGCTAGTCGGACCAATTCGTTGGCATGCTTCTTGACTTTCTCCTCCAACGCCTGAGCCTTGCTGCCCTTTTTGGCTTCCTTCTCTCGCTGAGCTTGAATCTTCTTCACGTCTTCCTCCAAGTGAGAGAGCTCGCTTCGAAGTCTTTTGGCCGATTCTTCGAGCCTGGCGTGTCTCTGCTTCTTGCCCTCTAAATCAGCGGCGGTCTGACGGAGCTTCTCTTGGCATTTTACATAATCGTAAGCTACGACTACTCGGGTCAGTCGCTCAAGATCATTTTGCGTCTGTTGGTAGTCAAGAAAGGCTCGCTTTTCGGTGCGCAACTTGTCAAGCTTGGGCTCAATTTCGTCTTTGAGGAGCTCTCTGAGTTCCTGAAGCTTGACCTCCTTCTTGGCCATGGTCTTCAGAGCCTTGTCTCGACGATCCTCAAACATTCGCGTTCCGGCCGCCTCTTCAATCATGGCAAGAATTTCAGCAGGCTTCATGTTGAGGACCTTTGTGATGCGTCCCTGCATAATCAGGAAGTTTGGGTTGTTGATATTGAGCTGGACGGATTGGAAAAGGTTCTGAACGGTTTGTTGCTGAGCTCGATGGCCATTAATCAGGTATTTAGATGTGCCGCCAAGAACAATTTGTCGCGTAACGCTGATTGATGCATATTCTTCGAAGCCGATTGGGGATTTCTTAGTGTCTCGGTTGTCGAAAACAATCGTCACGCTCGCCTTGGTGACGCCGGCCTGGCCGCGCTTGTATATAAGATCCTTGGAGTAGTGTTAGTGACTGCAGCACGGCACACTTGCATGTTGAACCATGTTTACCTGGAGATTTTGTGCTCGCACTGTGGTCATATTGGTGATGCCAAGGACAAAGCAGATGGCGTCCAGAATGTTAGATTTTCCACTGCCATTAAGACCAGTAATTGAGTTGAAGCTTTCATCCCTAGAGACCAGTCAGCGCTGTATTGCGCTGGTAACGCGTCGCGTATAACAAACCATCCCGAGATGACCGTACGCACGGCGTACGACTTGAAGCCCTGCAAAGTCAGTCAGCATAAAAGCAGATCATGTATCACTTGAATAGTCTCACGTCGATGACCACTTCTATCACCCTCATGATGCCGTATTGGAGTGTTCGTAGACTGTGCTGTTTCGAGCCTTGACTGGCGGCGCACTTCCGCCTCAACTGCCGGCGAACGCGAAAGTAAACATCGCTTGTTTGGGTTCTGATAAGCCTATCTTCACGTGATGTAATTCTGGAGTGACGCGCCGTGACGGTTGGATGGCAAACGGCCAGGCTGGGCCAAACCGTGACGATTTCGCGCTAACCTGATCTGGCTGGAATCAAAACATTGAGTGTGGAACGGAGCGCCTCCAATAGCTCGCGAATACCAGGCATGAGCTTGAACACCTGCACTTAACAGCTCCTTCGACTTTCTGGCTGGCCAGCATTTGCATTATTTATGCTTTCGCTACCACCGCAGTCCTGGCATAGAAACTCCTAGAACAACCAGCACAACTTTCGATTGCGCCGAACGCCCACGCGGCTTTGGCATCAACTTCAGAATGGCTGCCATGCGAGGCCCTCGTCTCCAAGCTGGATCCGCGCCATGGATTGCCGAGGAGCGCTCATCGGCCCTGCAGATTGTCCAATCGGAAGTTGAAGAATTTTCATTTTCAGCGCGAAATGAAATGGAATGGCTGAATGAGCATATGGCTGGCATCTTTGACGAAAACGAAACGTACGCGCCTCCTCCTGCTCCTCAATTTGCCAACATCGCCTGCTGACAACGTACAGAAATTTTGCCGATGCCTTCAAAACACCGGGAAAATTACGTGGCAAGACGCCGCGCACAATCCGGAAAGCCTTTGCGCCAGGCGACGCCCGAGTTGTAAGCTCTCCCGTTCTGTTGCACATGACAAGTCTAATGATTGCCAGCCGCTCTCCAATGTTTTCGCCGCGACACCAAATGGTGTAAACCCTCAGCTTGTCAACAAACTACTCTCTCCGAAAGCCATCATCCGATCACCCAAATTTCTAGCAGCGGCAGCAAAACTCGCGCCACAGTCACAATTGACACAAGACTCTGGGTACTACGGTAGTCAGGACATTGAGGTTGCTGCTGCCGTTTTCAGTGATCAGGGAAGTAGTCCGCAAAAGACTGGGGGATTTCAAAATATGAACATTCCGACAAAACAGAGCCAATCCCAAGCGCTGTTCGCAGACGTGTCTGATAAGACATTCCAGACTGCTAAGGAGGAACAAACCCGTCAATTTACGAAGCAAACCGTTTTCTCGGACGCCGAATCGTCTCCGTTGCGCCAGAATCTCGCCAAAATAGCCCAGGCGTCGTCACCGTTGAAGCAGTCGCCACTGAAGTCTCCCGTCCCCCATTCCGATCCGACCGACATTGGTGACGACAACGACGAGCCAGATTCTCCTTCTGAAGCCTCTAGCCCCATCCGACAAGTCATGCGTAAGAGCAGCTTGAATTTTGCCTCGCTTCCCGCTCGAGAACCGCTAGCTGCCGGTAAAAATACCGGGAGAGTCTCGCGCGTTAGTCATCTAGAGAAGGCCAGCGTAGGGAAAAGCCTCGGTCATGGCATGGAAGATGTTGGGCCAGAAGTTGATTGCCAGAGTGATATGGATGTTGATGTGGATGCGGAAGAGGAGCCAGTGCAAGCCACTGACGCAAAGACATACACCCAAAGGCTTCAAGATCAGATCAACCAGCTGGGCAAACCCAACGGGGGCGCTTTGGGTCAAGCTCGCCTATACCCCAATATCCCATCTGCCAAACAAAACGCGTTTCCGACTTCACAGTCAAATTCGAACGTGATAGCCTCTCCCACTCGCAAGCAAAGTATCAGCAAAGTGCTCCAGACGACACCGGGCGCCTTTCCTGAAGAGGAAGATGATGATGACTGGATCGAGCCCCCGAGCGCAGTACCGCCAAGCGAAATACGGCCTGCATTCCCCAAGAGCTACACTGCGGATGTCATGGAGGGAATTCAAGGAAAGGAGACGATCAGCCAACCAGAGTTTCCGGTCGCAAGACCAGAATACGCCACCCGCCTGCAAACCCATGGAAAGTCGGCCTCTGTAACAACTTTACCCAGCATGCAACCCGACGCAAAGATCGACCTGCTTCTTACGAAATCCACATCGTTCTCGCATGCATTGGGAACTGTCGCAGAATCTCAAGATACAGACACGCCATTTGGATCCCCATCACGACTATTCCGCGATAGCCCACTCAAGCAGATGAAGAGCAAACTTTCGTCCATCTTGAAAGGCTCAAGAAGTCTTCTGGCTAGCAGTGCGGCAATCAGTGCTGAGGGAAAGTCGTCGTTACTATCACCGTCCACAGCTCAGCTGGGAATGCATGCGTCACCTTCTACTACCTCCTTGGTTCTAAAGAATAGGATTGCCTCCGACGTGTCACATACTACAGAAAGCTCCTTGAGTCCTGCGAAGACCCGTCGCACACGGGCTTCCGCAGAACGGCAGCGAGAGGACAAGCGCCGAGAGAAAGAGGCAAAGCACATAGCTGAGCAGATGGACAGGTTAGACAAGGCTCGTGAGAAGGAACGTGAGAAAGCTCGCGTCTTTAGCAAGGAGCAAGAGCGCATTGCTGCCATGGAAAGGGAGATCGCTGCCAAGAAACAAGAGGAGCAAATGCACGCAAAACAGACGCCAAAGGCTCGCGACAACCCTCGTAAAGCAAACTCGGACGATGACGAACAGAAAACTGCTTTGCAGGACGTGGACATGTTTGAGGTGCCACAAATTGCGCCGCCATCGGCTGTTCGAACGACTAGCACCACACACTCGCTACGGAACAGAGATGTAAAACGGCCAGTCAAGCCGAGCAAGGAAGACCTCACAACGAAGCAAGCCCCGACTGTCATTCGTGTGAAACCGGGATCTCAACATTCGCAGTTCCATCAGACGGGCAGACAATCTACGAATCCGCAAGACCCCGTTAGTCTCCCCAACTCCCAGCACCAGCTGAATGTGAAAGCGAGCAAGGCGTCTTTGCACAGCAAGGCCTCATCGCAGAGCCTGAAATCAAGCACAAATGGGCGCCCAAAAGCAGCAGAGACAGCGGCCAGGAAAAAAGAGGCAGAGGAGCGAGAGGCTCAAAAGCGCCGCGATGCAAAGGCTGAAGCAGAGCGCAAGCGTGCTGCTTCTCAAGAAGAGCAGCGCCGCCAGGAGCAACTGCGACGGGCCGACGCAGATCGGCAGAAGAAGGAAAAGGAATTGGCTGAAGAGCGCAAGACAGTTCAGCGACAAGCGGCCTTGGAGAAGGCAAAACTCACGAAAGCGCCTCCACCAGCCGCTCGTTCGCAGCCAAACGGCCCCCCCGACTTCACGACAAGCCAACAGCAAAAGATGGAAAGCCAGGGTAACCGTCCCCCTTCTCGCATGATGGCAGGTGCTCAACGACAACAAGCCGGGGCGAACCTGAACAAGGCTGGAACAAAGCGTCCTGTCGGGCACGAGAGCAATGAAGACGCGCAGGATCGTCGACCACCGACTCGGGTAGGACCCTCGTACCAAGGACAAGATGCCAAGAGGCGCCGGACCAGCGAGGTCTTGCAAGACGACGCCGAAAGCGGGGGCCAAGCCGGCAAAGGACACGCTGTGCGACCATCTCCTGGCTTTAAGAAGGATGTGCCGCCAAAATCGCTGTTCCAAAATGGCTATTCTAACGCACCGCCAGCTGGCGCTCATGATTTGTTCAAGGCCTCGGTGACATCGCATCAGCTTCAAGGCAAGGCGGCTCGCCCTGTAGACATGGCACAGATTTCCAAGGGCAACATTCCCTTTGCGCCCAACGCAGCGGGGCCTGCGTTCAAGACGCCGGCGCGTCCTGGCCCGTATCTGGCAGCCAAGTCGGCGGCGAAATCCGTGCCTCGCTCATCGCCGCAGTTCCAGAACGGAGAAGCAATCGATCTGCCTGAAATCCAAACCGATGATGAAGACGAGGAGGATGATGCTGGCATGAGCAACATTGCGGGCTGGGCAGCGTCTCCCGATCTCCGGGCCGCACTGATGCGACAAGAAACAATGGACCCATCGCAAATCTTTGGGCCGCCAGCAGCACTGAACATGGAAGAAGTGTTCAGCAAGAGCAAGGATAGATGGCCAAAATTCCGCGCGAGAACATCGAGTGCCAACTGGAGTGGACCGGATGGGTTGACGGAAGACGATATTCGGAAGGATATGGCGGCAAGAGAGAAGCTGAGGCGTGAGGGAGGCTGGTCATATGAGATGAGCAAGGATGTGCTGTAAAGCAGCATCATGAAATCTGGCTTATTGGGGTGCCTCTGGAACGAGCAATGGCCATGGATCGTTAGAATGTGATTTTATTTTCTAGCGACGCATAGGAGTGCATCATTATTAGAAGGGAGTAGAGCGGCATTGGAGTTTTGGTCTATGCGTTACTGGCGTTTTGATTACAATTTCAATCATGGTTACTGAAGAAAAGCCGAAGACAAGATTATTCAAGTAAAAGTGTCCGAAAAGTGATGCAAATAAAATCCATCTGTTTTGTGTTTGAGTCGTGTCAATCAATAAATAAGTAGACGAAGAGCTCGAGTCACTCGAGTGGCTGCGGGCCAATTTTAGGTGGGGCGACAGTAGTGGCGCTCGAAAGGGGGAAAAAAAGTTGAAAACTTCGTGGTGCCAAAGGGTCCCATCATCCTCACCACGCGATCCATCTTTTACATCTCTTCCATCCCTCACACTACACCACAACATCAATTTGATCAGCGTCTGTGACCGGTGATATATATATATATACATATATACATATATACATACCCTGCGAACCATGTTTCGCCAAGGATTGAGGGCCTCCGCAGGCCTCGCTCGTCGGGTCCTGCCCCGGGCGGCTGTCACTCTGGGACGACAACAACGCATCGCTACGCAGTCGATTCGCCCCTCGATGCCAGTAGCCCAGTCTTGGAACGCCGTCTCCCACATCGCGCGCTTCTACAGCAGTGATGCCGCCGCTCCCGCCGCCGAAACGGCCACTGAGCAGCAGGATGCCCGCAAGCTGGCCGACGACTGGACAAAGCAGTTTGCGAGCCTCGCTGACATGGGTGTCAACGAGACCCTGCTGCGCGCCATCACAAAAGACCTGGGCTACCAGACCATGAGTCCCGTGCAGGAGAAAACCATTGCGCCAGCCCTCAAAGGCACAGATATGTAAGTTGCGGCCGCCTTTGCAGCCTTTGCACATCGGCCATTCGCTAACACACCATGACAGTGTTGCGCAAGCCAAGACCGGAACTGGCAAGACTATTGCCTTCCTCCTGCCGCTTTTACAGCGCATGATTAACGAAGACCCGACCCTGGCGACCAGATCTGCCAAATATCAGGCTCGTTCCAACGATATCCGTGGCATTGTTCTGTCTCCCACTCGAGAGCTTGCTGAGCAGATTGCCGAGGAGGCGCGCCGTCTTACTCGACACACTGGCCTGGTTGTCCAGTCGGCTGTGGGCGGTACCATGAAGAACCAGATGCTGTACAAGACGCGTCGGGAGGGATGTCACCTGCTCGTTGCGACACCCGGCCGCTTACATGATTTGCTCTCTGACGAGCGCAGTGGTCTCGCTGCTCCCAACCTAGCTGCCATGGTCCTCGACGAAGCAGACCGAATGCTTGACGTCGGATTCGAGCGTGAACTCAAAGCCATCATCGATTTGCTGCCTCGCCCTGACGAGAAGGTGCGCCAGACTATGCTAGTCTCGGCAACAATCCCCGACTCCGTCATTCGTCTCACGCGAAGCATGGTTCGCGCCGACGACTTTGAATTCGTGCAGACGATTTCTGAATCGGATTCACTGACGCATGACCATGTCAACCAGAACCTTGTCGTTGTCTCGCACATGAACAACGTCTTCCCGGCTTTATTCGAGCTCATTGACAAAGCTATTGCGGACGCCAAGGCGAACCCTGATAAGAGCCCGTTCAAGGGTATTGTTTACCTCAACACCACAGCTATGACCCAGCTTGCAGGAGAGATGGGCTTTGCGAAAAACCGTGATCGTACCTTTATCCGGAACTTTGCCATCCACTCTGGCCTCACCCAGTCAGCTCGCACCCGGGCTGCCGAAAACTTTCGCAAGTCTGAGTCTGGAATCCTGTTCTCTTCCGACGTCACTGCCCGTGGCATGGACTTTCCAGACGTGACTCACGTTATCCAGATTGATTGCCCTCGTGACCGCGAGACCTACATTCATCGTCTTGGCCGCACCGCGAGACAGCAAAAGGACGGCGAAGGCTGGCTCCTCCTGCCTGCCATGAGCCGCTCCAGAGCCCGTGGACTGCTTCGCGGACTACCTCTCCAGCCGAACACGTCATTAGAATCTGCAACCTTTGACGTTGCCTCGGGCGATGCAGAACCAGAAGCCGTGACCGCAACCAAACAGCTGTATCCGCGCATGCCATCCAAGGTTCTCGAGGAGGCTTACCGTGTGAGCATTTTCAGCTCCACTGAAAAGCACGCACGCGACGACATGGTTGTGCAAATGAACGAATGGGTCACGCAAGGTTGGGGCTGGCAATCGCCCCCCACGGTGTCCAAGATGCGGGCCGACAGAGCCGGCTTTGGCCGTACTGACCTCAACTTTGGCACTGAGCAGTCTTCCTCCTCCGACAGCCCCCGCCGCTCGGATAGATTCGGAGGCCGCGACTTTGACAGAAATGACAGAAACAACCGCCGCAGCAGCGACCCTTTTGATGGAATGCGAACCGACGCCCGAAGGGACAGCCCGGGTGGCCGTGGTGGTTCATCCAGAGGTGGTTTCCGCCGTGGCTCGGATCGCAATTCGGGCCGCAACTCGGACCGTAACTCGGACAGATCACGAGGAGGCGAGTCCGCGTGGTAACTCATCGCGACGCAACGGCTTCGCGGCCCTGCCAATGCGAACCAACCATTCCCAGCAACGAACAAGATTGAAGCGACCTGACAAAAACGACAAAGTCACCTGTACAACATATTCATCTACACTTTATATTTTTTCTACGTCTTTTGACCTGTCTTATTAACGTTCAAGATTTTGAACCCCCAAGTCATCGGTGATGATGGTACCAGGGCTGGGATGAATGAGCTTGCGGAACTCAGCGCTTCTCTTTTTTTTTTGATACTATAAAACTTTTATTCGCAGTGGCATTTTTTTATTCGCAAAAACTTTATGGGTTGCCACGCAGATATGGACAGACAAAAGGGGCTAAAAAGCCAACGTCTGCTACACTGTATACAAACTGGATTGTAAGGATATTTTAGATGGAAAGAAAAGCAAATAGGCGCAGAACTGGATAATACACCTCTCTTTATACTCGTCTGATAATAACTATGGCTGACCTGTTTCATTTGCTGGTGTTTCTCGGTTTATTTGAATCCCCTGGGAATTAAATACTCGAGATAGAAGTAATTCTACAGCCTGACTCTGACAGTAGGCTCGCCGCCTCCCGTAGGCGAATTGGTTGCTGCATCACGGGCGACTTGGAAAGTGGTGGCAATAAGGACCGCTTGCAGTCTTCACAATGATGCGTTGGAGGATTGGGCACAAGAATCAAGAGCGAATGTCGTGGGCATCAACGAACTAGTATTTCCCATTGATGCGCTATATTCATCAACGAGCCTTCTGACTAATTGCCGTTGTTGTGATTAGTATTATTGCCCGCATTCGGCTGCCCGCCAAAGAAGAACGTTTCAAAAGGATTGATGTGGCCGCCCTCGCTAAAATCATTATGCATGCCTTCCCAATTGATCCCGAACCCGAGATCGAGCTGAGCCTGGTCGACGGTGGGAAAGTCCCCGTTCGGTGTTGCCCCAAGTGTCTGCAAGAATTCCATCGTCTGGCTATCCGGATATTCCACGGACCCTAGCACACCAAACTGCTGGCCTATAAACGTGTTGCTGTTCCCCCCCTGGCCTGTCATCCGGCGAGGTATTGGAGGCGAGCGGGCGAGAGCGTCAATGGAGCTGCCGTCCTGGCTAATGGACGCGTCTACAAGGCTCGGCCCGCTGTGCCGTCGCGCTTCTGACATGAGGGTATCGCTGTCAAAAGTCTTGGATTTCATCAGCAGCGGTGTATTCTGAGACGAGGTATCGCCACCCGCGGATATACCCGGAGACGAAATGTTGTCTCCCATTGCCAGATCAAATTGATAGCCTCGGCCATCTGAAGCCTGAGGTCGGTGGTGTGAAGCTGATGATTTTATCGATGAGACATCGGGGACAGGGGCGGTGACCCAAGTTGTGGTCTCTCTGCGCTGTCGGCGTGGCCGAGGGTTCATGGTACCAAATCCACCGTTTGCGGTCGCCATTTTGAGGGTTGCCTTGGCAGTTCGATCGAATGCGTCTCGGCACGTCTCTGCCGGCGGGCACTTGTCAATCATGTCCGTGAATACAGACTTGGCTGCCAGGACGGTGAAGTCCACGTCATCCATAGAGAGGCGACTTCGGACCAAGGGTGAATGCCAAATAGCGTACAGGTATGAAATGCCAGCCATGAATAGATGATGGGTAGACAAGTATGTATAGCTGACAAGACCGCTGATATGAAGTTGTCTGTATATGCGCAGAATCTTTTGGCCTGCTTCTGCGACCTTGAGGTAGATACGGTCCTCATCTTCTCGGAGCTCTGCGGTGAAGGCCGTGGGACTGTTGACCTCATTCGAAGTGTTGTATTCGCCCTCAAACATAGCTGGCACACTTAGGCTCTGTCTATAGAGCATAATGATGGCTTGCCAGTAGTTGAGTTCGAGAAATTCTGTGGAGAAAGCAACACCAGTTTCTTGTCTAGTTGGCGCAGAGGTTTTCCAGTGGTATAGCCGTTTGTCAATGTCGCTTCTCCATGACCGAAATGAATCGAATTTGACGAGGAAGGGCGAGGGTGTGTGATTGCGCATCTCAGGATAGCAAGGGACCTGATTGCCCTGACGTGCGAGCTGAGCTTGGTTGTATTGAAGAACCTGTAAAATCTCTGATTGCAGCACTCGTAGCCGGAAATAGTGATGGGCAACATGCTTGTAGCTCGGTCGTTCGTCATCCACCGGTGGGTCGATAAAGCCCGTAGGGGTAACGTAGTCGTCGTCCAAGACGGATGGAAGCTCGGTTGTAATAACTTGATCACTCACACCGAATGGCCTTCCGACACACGTGCTAACCAATCGATCGAACGAATATGTGCACCACCATAAACGCCGTCTCATGTCTCGGACATACTGTCGCCGGGCTCGCTCTCTGGCACTTGATTCTTGTTCATTTGCCGGGTCATCGGGACCTGAGTTTTCTGCTTCACCACCCTCTTCGTAATGTAAGCCAAGATCAACAGCGAGGCGAACAGCTACGCCAGTGATGTACCTATATTGTGTCAACAACAGTGCAAATCAGATCGCGAAAGACTTACCAGAGGCCAGGAGGCACTGGACGAAGCAGGGCAAAGTTTGCGAGGAGGAGGACGGCTTGTAAAACTTCCAAACCTCCTCCGCTAACGCTCAGGCAGGATTCTAGATGAACTATAGCGCTTGCATGATATTCTTCGGGGTCGCGCTGGCGCTTTGGCGGTTGAGAATCGGTTTTGGCTGTTCCAGATGCCTCTGTCTTGACGGGTTCCCCAACAATCACGCCGCAGCCAATCGCAAACACCATGTTTAGCATATAGAGCTCCCTGGAAGCGAGAGAATCGGGAGAGTTGACATAGGCTTGCTCAAACATGTGCATAAATTCGCCCCTGTGAAGAATGGGTATTTGCGGATTCGCGTGCTCGAAGTAGAGGGTAACAAGTCGCATTCCAACCTCGCGATCTGGAAAGGGGGCCGGTTGGATGTTTGGCCTTTTGTGAAGACCAAAGAAGGAATCGCGCATCGAAGTCCCAGCGCTTCCACCTGTACGCTCGGCAGGGCCATGTTGGTCTGAAACGGAATACTGCACAGCCGCGAAGACGACTCTGGCGAATGATACACCGGAGGCTGAGGCAAGTGATTTAGGCTTTGAAGTACCAACCAGGTTCATCATAGCTGGGCTCTGCTCTTCCTTTTTGGGCGCTAAAGATTGGTCTCGCGCGCTATTTAAAGCCTTGTCCGAAGGGGCCCCATTGTTGGCGGAGCCCGAATCTCGCGGGACGGCGTCGGCGCTCGGACGAGAGCAAAGTTCCAGATTCTCAGCTGGCGGGTAAGGAACATTATTGGATGAAAGAAGTTTCTCTAGTAGTTCTACCCGAGTTTCGAGATAGAATACGTAGCTATGAATGGAATTAGCCGTGAAAGAGACGAGATGAGAGCACTGATGCATACCTGCGTGGGATCTCTTTTTTGGTGATTGGGTCGTAGCCAACACATGCTACGCTAGCTTTAGCGCAACTTGCGCAACTGGGAAGTTTCTGGTCGCAGCGATTTTTGCGCAGGCGACATCTGTTACAGGCGCTCACGTTGCGAAAGTTGCTGCTTTGCGAAGGCTTGCCGCCAGTGAGTGGCCCGTTCGTCGTGGCTGTATCCCGGATCGTCTCGGGACTGACTCGATTGACTGGGGAGCCATCCTCTGAGGATATCTTCCGTTGGCGTTTGCTGGTGGGTTGGGAGCTCGGAGAGGGCGCGCCATGCGCTGGCATATTGGCGGAGTGATGAGTATTTATCGCGAGACACGGGCGGCTTGGTAGTTGCGGGAGGGGTGCTACCGGGGCTTGAATTGTGAGAATTATCCAAGTCGGAAGCCACTTTCTCCGCACGAGCAGAAGGAACGGCGCTGTGCTGCTGGGGTTGAGCTATGGAAAAACGGCGTTATCTGGGAGGGAGAGCCGCGGCCCATTCTCCAATGGCCCAAGATTGGGCGTCGTAGGTGATCGTCGGTAGACCAAGAATCAGAGAGCGAGGGCCATGCGACCAACAAAAGACGTGCGCGAGTTACTGATGATGAATGCGCACCAGAGAGCGCAACGACACCTAGGGCGCACGACGCTTGGCGGGCGAAAAAAAAAACCGGTTGGAGTGCTGGCGCGGAGCCTGGGTCGGTCGGCTAGGGTGTCTCCTCTGTAGGTATTGAATAGAATGCACGGGGTGTTCGTCGAAATTGTCGCGACCACGGTGTGCGTATGGGTGTGAGCGTGGGAGCAGCTGTCGGGTGAGGAGATGCGAAGGAGGAGATGCGAAGAAGAAAGATCAACTCTGCGACGGATGAAAGGTGTGGAAGAGAAACGAGCTCACGAGCGGTCCTGGGAGAAACTCGGCAGCCAGCGGTGCGGTGCTCGTTGGGTCTGGTCGACAAGGATAGTGGAGATACAGCACATGGATCGGGGCGCCGTGCTGATAACTAGAAGGAGCGGAGCCGAACGGAGCACCGTTCAGTCTATCCGTATTCTGTACGTACTAGGTAGGTAGGTACCTACCTAGTTAGGTACTCGGTAATTCGTACAGCTTATAGTAGGTACTCATAGTGGCCGTTAGCAGGCCGTCAATCGTGTGTCTCGTGGATACCTACCTATGCAGTGCTTTGTTTTCAAGTCTCGCTCATGACTCGTCGCATTCTAGAGCAACTCGATTCGATCTCGTGAAGCAGCCTCTCCAATGCAGAACCTGGCCGGCTGGCTCGGGACCAGTTGGACTGGTAGAAGACTGTTTCGAGCCCACTGAAGCTGAGGCCAGGATTGCCCCGAATTTGCGCCAAGGAGCTCCGAATTTGCCCCAGGATACCCCCCAGCCTGCAGCAAGCCACGCAGCAGACGGCAGACTAGCGCTTTCAGCCCACCAATCCCTGGCGGCCCAATTGCGTCCTGGTCGACAGTCCTGGGTAGCATGTTTTGCCTACTAGGCCCAGTCTAGCGCAGCCACGTTCCTGTCATTGACAAGCAGGGTCCGCGGCACCCGGCACATGTTGGTTGAGGAAAGTTGGCGGTTGGCCGTGGAATCGTGGCAATTTGGGTGATGATGTTGGCGGGAGAATAAAGGCTACGGGGTGTAATTTGTACTGGTACAGACTGCGTTCAACGAGAATATTACGTAAGATATGTCGCCTGCCGCGTAGGTGTTTGTTGCTGTTGCCAGTGGCTGGCTGGCTGCCGGCTGGCTGTCAGGTCGCTGCCAGGCTGCCCAACCAATCAGTCTATTGGCTTCGTCTTTACTTAGTCTGTACACAATACGGATGACGTAGCACCCAATTCACGACATCCGCTTCTCTGACTCCCTCTCGCCAGAGCCAGTCATCTGAGGAACCTTGAAGCCCCCCGATATTCTCCGTCATGATAGCTGGCCGCCGTCTGAATCGCTGAGCGGCCTCTCGTTGACTCGATGAGAATACGTAAATCGGGTGTCCGCCGCCACCACCAGCAGCCTGACCACTCTCACTTTCCTCGCCCCGCGATGCGAAATCGGGCGAAACCCCAAGAAGCTAGCTAGGCGCGGCTAGCAGAATCCGCTCTCTTGGCCTTGGCTTTCCGAGCCTCTGTCGGCCGAGTTCAACGGACCCAACTCGCGCTTATGCTCGGCGTCGAATGCTTGAACTTGTCGCCCTACCGATATGCTGGCTTCCCCGGTCCAGCACGTCGCACGTCAAACAGACAAGTTGTCTGAAGCGTTCTCCGCAATTCTAGACAAGCCCATGTAGCTCGCTGCAGCCACATTTCTCGCTTCCTCGACAGGTGTGGGTGGCAGGGATCCGCGGGCGCAGACAAGTTTGTGGACGAGTCGGTGCAATGCGTCGCCACAGCTGAGCCCCACGACAAGTTCTCCATACGACGAGATGGGGGGATCACTGCCGTTGAATGTGTGGGACTTTGAGTTGTGTGTCGGCTGGCATTGCATTTCTTCGGACAATGGATCTATCTCGGGTCACTGGCAGAAGCCCCCGCAATCGATCTGTCTCATGTAGTACGGCAAGTACGGATAGCGAAACCGACAATGTGGGAGGCTGCTGTTGTGCATCGCCCTGTCGCGCATTTTGCAGGCTTGTATCAGACGTGGGCTGAAATTCTGACTGTTGCAATTGCTTACCTTGAGTCTTACTATATGAAACAACCTCGCCCTTTAGACGCCCGAGCGCCGACAGGGCTACATGAAGCTGATGATGCGACGACTCTTCTAAATGCATCGCCTTGCTGTTTGGCTCGCTGTGCTCTGACAGAAATTACCATCATATCCTGTAGCCCGATCCATTTTGCTAGCCGGTCTCGTTACACAAAGTCTGACATTGGGTGCGCTTGTCCCAGTGGTGCCGGCCGAAAGGGTCGCGAGCATGCAGTGACAGCCAGTATGTCAATACATTAACTTGAAATAGTAAACGAGTTTAAAAAACATCATTCAAGGCTTGCGCCTGCGATTGTATCCTTCTCATGCAGTGTATCCTGTGTCTTGCTCCTAACAACCAAAAGTAAAATGCCTTGGCCCTTGCAATGCTCTCAAGGTATCCTCGGCCATAAGAAAATCTATCATATTTCGTACCAATGTCCGCCTTTAACCCTTTCCATGCTGGTCCCGAAATCCCGTAAAAGCAAGGGGTAGAATAAGTTGCAAAACGCCATTTCCATCTCAAGAGGGGGTATTGTGAATCCAAAAAAAGTTGCAGCGGTAAAACCCCAGGTAAAACGGCATGCAGGGTGCACTATAAAAAGTCGTAGATGTAAGTCTTGTTGTTGTTCTGTCGAAGAACCAAAGAAATGAAGTAGTGGGACGCTCTCAATAGCGTGTTACGCCATGCTCCTCGTCGTATTCATCTACCATCGACTCGAGGAGTGGCTCCTCGTCTTCATCAGAGGCCGCAGATTGATAGCCACCTTCGGTGATTTGAGAGCTGAGGTAGGCGCCTACGAGGGTGGTGACACCGCTGAACCACCAAGCGAGACCAGAGTAACCGGTCTGGAGACCTAGGGCATATAGAAAACCGGAGACTGTCGGACCAAGAGCACGGCAGAGACTGGCGGTCGAGGCAGCGATGCCATTGATGGTGCCGAGAACCTCCTTGGAGGGTGCAGAGTTGGCCAGCAGGATGGCGTTGCTCGGATATGCCATTGTCGCAAAGGTGCACTTCCAAATAACAAGAAGGTAAATGGCGGGCATTCTCAGGTTGTCGGGGAGAAGCACAAGGTAGGGGGTCACCAAGTATAGCGAAAAATAGGAAAACGCAATGAGTCGGAAGAGGCGAAGGGATCCTAGACGACGAGTGACCGGGGCGACGACTAGGTAGTTGGAAAAGAGTGAGTAGAGGCCCTGGACGGACATGATGAAACCGATGGTTTTCGTATCGAGACCAAAGCCATCGACAAATTTGAACGGAAGCTGCCGAACGGGATGATCGGGTGGTGAGGTGCTGAGAAAAACCGGGAAGAGCTGGTCAAATGTCATGGTGTGGCTGTCTATGGTTAGTGGTGAGCGGACGACTGAGCCGCGAAACTACTCACAATGCAAGAATGCCGTAGGACATGATGTTCATAATGACGGGCCGAGTGAATATCTTTTGTTGCGGTGCAGGCTCGACTCGAGTGACAACGGGCGAGCCAGGGACCCTGCTTGGGCCGAGTTTTGGCGAACTGTCCTGGCTTCTGTAGCTCGGGAGGAGCTCATCGTCCTCGCCGAGGAGCGGAGTTTGGGAGGTGATGGACATGTATCCGGCGGGCGAAGATTCGTGAAAAAGGCTCTTCTTTTCGGGGGTGCGGCCCTTGCAGCTCCCGGCGCGGCTGAAGAAGGCAGTGATCTTGTCTCCGACCTCGCGACAGCGGTCACGCTGGAACTTCTTCTTGGCGTGCGTTTCATCCAGAAAGAGGAGCCCAATAATGACACCAAAGAGAACAGTACAGGCGCTGAAGAGGTTGGGCAGCAAGTAGGGGAAGCGGTCCCAGATTGTGCCCCTTGCGAAGAGTTGCGGGTAGCTGATGCATGGCCGTGCGAGAGCGCCTCCAATCATAGGGCCGACGATTGATCTACGCATGTTAGATTGGATCGTTACCCGGGGTCGGTGTGAAAGTAACGTACCCAATGCACCAAACCATGGGCATGATTGTGTAGGCGCGAGCTAGTAGGGTTCCCGTGAGTACATTGCGCGCTGGGATGAGAGGTCGATATGGACTCACGCTGCTGTTCCTTGACAGTCACCAGTTCAGCGACTGTGGTCTGAAGCACACCAATGTTGCTGCGCGAGGGTTAGCCACTGCTATTGCGACACGACTTGAGAGAGATTTCGGCGTACCCATTGAGGAGACCACCGAGGGCTCGAGCGAAGAGGGCAACTGGTAGGTTGGGAGCAAAGCCAAAAGCGAGGACGCTGAGAGCAGTACCGGCAAGACCACTTAGAAGAACAGGCTTGCGGCCGATGCTGTCACTGAGACGACCCCAAAATACTCCGGTAGCGAATTCGGCCAGGGTAAAGGCAGATGTAACCATGCCAGCATAGACTGCGATTTTACTAGGGTCGTCGGTAATGTGGAAGTCCTGAATCATGTAATAGATGTAGGGGAAAATAGACATGAAGGCGATTGGCTCGCATATTCTGCAGCAGGCTGGGGCACAAGACAGCGAGTCAGCACTGAGGAGCTCCCGAGGCTGCTCACTAGAACACGGACCGGCTGGGGCCCATGGACTTTGGTTGTTGCGAGTTCAGTTTGAGCACATCTTGGGCATACCTAAAACAAACATCTGCTGAGCAGGAAAAGGACGAGGTTCTGCGCGCTTCCTATCCGAGGAGCGGAGGCGGCCAGAAGCGGCCTCGGGGGAGGAGGAGCGCATCGAGGCGAGTTGAGCAGGCGGTCAGGCAGGCGCGCCGTTGGTTTTTCAGTTTGTCTAAGCTGGTTGCGACGACTGAGAGTGCGTTGACGGCTTGCGGGACGGGGTCAGAGAGGTCCAAGAGGCGATGAAGAGAAGAGAGACAAAGGTTCTCCGGGCTCAGAAACGCATGAGTAATTTTTATATTCCCTTGGATGTGATGTAGTAGGGCCACGGCATATAGAGAGCAGTTGTACGACGTGGGGGGGTTTGGAGGGGTGTAAGTACGTGGTCGTGCAGGCGGTGCGGCGAGAGTGAGGCGGGACGGACAGGACCGAATAGTGCAAGAGGTGTACGACGTAGTGATCGAGTAGGCGGCTGCTGAAAGGGCAAGTCCGAATAGTTAAGAGAGAAGCGGGAAAAGAGTTGAAACAATATGTCAACAGATGCTGATGAACAGACAAGCAAAGCAGGCACAGACAGACTCAACGAGGGGAGTGGATGCGGCAAGATATAAGAATCACCAGGGCTGGCCCAGCTTTCCGGTGTTCAAGAAGAAACAAGCAAAGCCAAAAAGGCAAATGACAAGGAGAGTGAAAAAAAAAAAAAAAACAAAAAAAAAGGAATAGTCAAGGCCCAAGCAACAACGCGGGACTAGAATGGGGGATCCGTCTTAGCGACAGGGGGGTCCTTTTTCGTTAGAGCCTACTTACCAGTGCCTCCTACTGGTACCACAACCACGACTCGCTACTACTAGTTAGTAGTGTACGACCAGCAGGTCAAGGCTGTGTGAAGCGGAAAGGGAAAAGCTACGTAGTACCAGCAATAAGTGACCGGTATGTACCATGACCAGTACGACAGTGGTCAAGGGTGGAGGGGGGCACTAGATTACGACGGGCAGTGACATGAGTCCCCTAGGCAGTCGGGTACGACAGCACCAGAAGAGGCCAAAACGTGAATACGGCGTAATTTGTACATACGAATGACTGGCAAGATGAATCCGTGGTTCGATGTATTAGCTCCCTGTGTGTGTGGTGTGTGTGTGTGCCCGGGGAAGCTAACTAGTTACTGAGCCAAGTTGGAAAAAAATAAAGGCGTCTAGACAAGGGGGGAAGGGAGAAGGGGGGCGCGAGCCGCGAATGGGATGCGCAGCAGGGGGAGGGTGTAGTGGCAGAGGCGTGTCGTAAATTGGCCGCCGTGTAAATTAATTTGTTGGTCATTCTTATGCTGCGGACCAGTAGTACCAGTGCGGTGGTGGTGATGATGGGTGTAAAGGATGACCAGGTACAACAGGTAAGTGGTCTTGTTGATGGGTTGAAATCAGGCGGCGGCTGTTTGTCTCTAGTTGACCGGCTGATGTTTGAGTTGCATATTGATGAATCAGCAAGCCTCTTCGTCGCATTTTGAGATGAGATGAGCTAGTGATTATTCTTATTACGAGAAGCAACTGCTTGCAACACTGAACATTGGCCTCAAGGTTGTGTTTGGGGGCAGTTTACAGGGCAGTTTGGTTGCAGCATGAGCCGATAGTGGACAGACCCCCTATATTTCCGATGTGCGGATGGTCACGCCCGGCAATCTATCAGCCAGCACTGGCACCACTGTAATCTGTAATCTGTACTCCGTAACTTAGCAGTTCCATGTGCAGTTCCATGCGCACCAAAAAAAAGTCCAAGGCTCTCACCCCGCTCATGATAATACCGGCAGGCCGGGCGTGTCATTCCGGGGGTCTCTGCACGGGCTATCCGGGACCACTGGACGACCGGCTTGGACACCCGTCACGAAGCCACAGTCATTTTGGGAGTCGTCGGAGAGCTTCCCTGGATGCTCACTGGACGCCTACAGCACCGCTAACTAACCGGGGGGGAAGAAGGCCCAGTTGCCCGGACGGGCGGTGACGGAGGCAAACTTGATCTTCTGCGGTCCACAGTGGATTAGGTTGTTGCCTTTTTTTTCTGTTGATTTTGTTTTAATAAGAGAATCGTCAAAAAATAGGTTGTTCCATTTCTCCGAGTCTCTTCAACTGCCCTGGCCGCCCCATTGCAGAGTCATGGCGCGCCGACTCGGCTGTCGGTGAATCTCCCTGACTGGGCGCGCTCTGGCCACCGGGAGAGGGGCCGCTACAGGGGGGGATTGCCAACTGCCTGGAATGCGCTGGAGCCACCCGTCATCCACGCTTGGCAACCAAATCAAGTCATCGTCTGAAAAGAAAAAAGAAAAAAGATGAATAGGTAGCCACTAGAAAAAGCAAAATGGGATAGCTATAGAAGGGAAAAAAAAGGATAACTAGAAACAAGAAGGGTTTGGGGAGAACGCGTCACCCGCAGATGACTTTGACCACGCGCTCGTCGCAGGTCTCAGTGCAGTTTTTCCGCTTCCTGATTTTTTTCTTTCTTTTTCTTTACTTTTTTCTTCGTTTTTTTTCTTCGTTTTTTTTCTTCGTTTTTTTTCTTCGTTATTAATCTGGCTCTCCTTTGTGTAACCCCATACGAAGCCACGATGCCCAATTTTCCTTTTCATCAACGCCGCGTCGGGGACCAAAAAGGTGCCCCCCGGGGGCCCACGCCCATCGTCGTACAGCCATGCTGCCGCGAAGTCGACATGCAGCAAATCTGATACGGTGCAAGTCATAATAACTCATACACGACAATAGAAGCTCTCGACCCCTCTTGTACATACAATATCCTACGAAACAGACAAGAAAGGATTGGTGGAGAGTGCGACCAGTGCCCGCTTCTTTCCGTATCAACGTGACACCAAACCAAGCCAAAGTTGCCTTGCCCAGCCCAATCTCCCATGGAACAGCAACATGGGATTGTGTCATGGCTCTTCTCCCTGCTCCACGGCGGCAGGACCCGAACTGACGTGTACAAAAAAAATAATCCATTTTCTTCTCTTCGTTGTCCATCCATCACCCATCTTGCCACTTACCATTCGCACACACCCTGGAAGCCCTTGCTGCACAATGACATAACCGTGCCGGTACCCCTCGTCCTTCCATCAGTCTTCTCTTTGCAAGTCCCCTCAGCCTTGTGACGTAACGCGCATGCATTTCGACTGGGTACCGCCCGGCCACAACAAGCCATCACGCCGGCTCATGCATGGGCTGGGCACGGAACCAAGGGGGGGGGGTGCCGTCCCCTAGTTACCTGGCTTCTGGCGCCCGATCATGCGACGACCGAAGCCCAGCCTGGCGACAACAACGGGAACTTGGGGCGACGCCGCTGCCCCCGATGACAGAGAAAAAAACACACGTACGAAAACGGGATGCGAATCGCGCCCGCGCCCAGGGTTCTCTGCAACCTGGCGGTGAACAAGGCCGCCCCAAGCCTCGCTCGCTCACTGCCGCTCGAGCTGTTTTATTAGCGCCTATGTACGGTGCCCGCCGCCTTCCTTCTTTGCAACCTCAAAGACGGCCGACGCTCTATCTATGTGTATGTACTCGGTATCTTTGGACGGCATTTCGGCGCGTCATTCCTGGGGAAGCAGACTGGCAAACAGGCGGATGCTTGCAGAAATCTCATGCGCTGGCAGCCTGGCACCTCCCCCCCCCCCCTCTCTTCCCTCTTCCTCCTTCCCTCATCAGCGCGACTTACACGATGACTGCTGTTATACAGACCGGGTCTGTCAACCAGCATCCCCTGGCCCCCTTCCTCAGAGACACGCATGGCTGGGCGTATATGTATATTATTAGGCGCAAGCATCCATGTACGACGCGGATGATGTGATCCGTGGCTCCCCGTCTGCATTCCCCAGGGCCACGCACCTCCCTCTCACCAGCCTTGCCTGCCCTGCCTTCGGTGACCAGCAGGCCAACGCAGAATACTCCGTGTGGCACCGGTCATGATGGTTCCCCCTGCACCCGCCGCATGCCCGACGGCCCCGGGCAGAAAAAGCGAGCCAAAAAATGCCTCTTGTTGTAGTTACTTGGTGCAAGGGTTTCCCAAGCCTTCCAGTATCGAGTCATGATTGAAGCGCTCCTTTGCCGGCTGCTCCCCCCGGGGGGCCGAGGCCCGCTCCAAAAATCTCGGCGCAAAGCACGATGTCAACGTCGCCATATTCTTGTACGTGCTCGTTATGAGTTGTACTCCATAATATACAATATGACCTGCCACGATGGCAGCAGACAAGGCAAAGGGGGGTCGCGGTCCTAAACAGCCAGCCGCGGGGCTCCCAAAAGAGGCAAACGCCACAAGCTGCGCTGTCAAAACCTGTGCGAATCCACATTGGGATTCGACCGACGATACATTCGTAGAACAAGGGCAACTCGGCATCAACACACATTCTGTTGCTTCTTCATCATTTACCGCCTTATGCACCTCCTGTGACGCCGAGACATGGAGTAGACACCGCGTGACAGCACCCGTCGTCAGGGCCTTCCCTGCCAGTGGTTTGCAGCCTCGACGACAGGGCTCATTCAAGACATTCAAGAAGAATAAGATTAGCAGGGATGACTAGAGATCACGGGCCGTTCGTCTAATAAAGCTTGACAACCTTTTTTCTTCTTCTCTCGTTGCCCCTTGTCATACTCGGGGGTACTTGTCAGCTTCCTCTTCAGTGGCCGGTTTTTGATTTTGTTAGCTTTATTTGCAGGACAACAGGCACAGCAGGCACCTCAAAAGAGCGCTGTTGTCGCTGTCGTTCTTATTAGGTCAGCGAATAATGACAAGACCCTACCATGACTTGATAGATCCTTGACTAGTTCTTTGTTTCTCATAAACACGTTGTCAATCCTTGAACCCTGCCTTTTTTTTTTCCGCGTACGGAGAGCGATGGACCACTCTCAGCTCTCAGACATTTTACCGTGCGGAGTAGCAAATGGACCGTTTTGATTACAGCGAGATAGTCATCAGGCCAGGTTCCCTACCGACCGCCGCCAGCGATACGGCACTTGGCGGGATTTGGCATGCAGCCGCCGACGAAAAGGGGCAAGGGAAACCCTTGCAGCGCGATACAGAAATGGGGGGCGTCGGCGGGCTTCTTCTTCTTCTTCTTCCAAAGCAACGGAACAAACAGCGTACGGACTACATAGCCCCCAATACTGGTGCCTGATAATATCCCAATACGATGCCTCTTGACGTGTGGCTTGCGGCTGCTGAGGGGGCGGGCCACCCGATCTCGCTGCTGACCGCAACTGTCGTCGTCTGCAAGTCTGTCCGCCCCAGGGCATGGCTCCGCACGTTCTGGGCGGCCGAGACGAGACGAAAATCACCACCACCAGCCCAAATACCGTAGTTAATACATACCTACCTACCTGGTATTTTGCTGCAAGTCATGCAGCGGGCATGCGGCGCGCATGCATGCAATGCTGCACCGTTGCGGCCGCGGCCCACGAAGAACCACGGGCAAGAAAAACAAAGAGGGACAGCCCCCCGATTCGTGCCTGTTGTGAGTGGTGAGCCAGTGGTCTTGTTCCTTGTTTGGTCCCTGTGTTGCGAACCCGACACAGTGGTCGCAGCTAGCCTCGTCGCCTCGTCGCCCCCCCAAGTTGCATTGGCGGCGGGCGATCCGATCTTTTCTCCCATCTTGTTCCGTGCTCCTGGATCCCATTGTTTTGTGACAGTCTTCCTTCTCTTCCCCTTCTCCTACTCTCATTCAATAAAAGGGGGCGCCACTCGGGCCACTCATCTGCTGTCCTCTGCCCACTGCGCATGCACAAGCACGAGACTGGCGCGCGCCGGAAGCCTCCTCCCAGTATGCTGTGCCTCTCTATCAGTCTCGACACGCCATGCGGCCGGTGTGCACTCATTATTGCTCCTACCTTGACCTCGTCTCTTGACCGCAAGGTGAGGACCAATGCAGCTTTGCCTGACTGATGCTCCTCCCAAGCTCTGCCGCCCAATCTTCACCGCCACATTACCTCGTGATCTCTCCCCCCCCCCTCTATAATAATGGGTGGGGGATCAGACGAGCCAATCACTGCTAGAGCGTCAACCACTTCTTCTCGAAGCACACCCTCTTCGTTCTTTTTTTTTTCTCTCGGCACCACATTTCCACATCCAACAACTTCAACGCAAACGGACATGCCGCCAGCAATGCAATGCATCCTCCCCCGCTTCTCACCAAATGGGCACACCCGGTACGGAGTAGTTAGAGAAAGCCGGGCTCCTATTAGAGCCAAAACCTACCCAACGAGCGGGGACGCTACCATTGTTCACCGGCATCCCGGCTCACCCTTCCGGAGCCACTGTGGCTGGGCTAGAAACAGATGCGCGCCATGTGGATGGCGGTCCGTGAGACTCGCTCGCAGTGCCGGTGATACAGTAGCACCAGAGATTATTCTCGTGGCTAGCGTCGAGTGGTGACGGAACGAAGGACACCTCCAGGAGCGGCTTCACCGGACCAGCCAAGAATACCACCTCGATCACTTTGCGCTTTCACGAACCTTACAAGGCGAAATGTAAGAGAAACGTAAGAGAAACGTACACGACGCTAGCCGACCAAGCCGTGCACCATGTGCTATCCCGCCAACCCGCTTTGATACCGTACTTCCGAAATCCCTTCATTTGCCACTAAGACGATAAAGCTTGTAAGTGACCATGGGAAATGGGCCGTCTACCTACTAATTTCGGGATTCCAAGCCAACATGTATCAAAGCAGCCCCTATAGCAGGCAACAGGTATAACTGCGGTTCTCTATATCCACTGCAGGTAGGGGAACATGTTCCGAGTCCAAGAATAGCTACCCTGCCCGTTCGCACTTATTACCTCTCGACTATGCCATACCGCCCACATCGTTTGCTGGAATTGACCCTTGCTATTATCAATCACCTGACAACGAAGCTATGCGGACGACACGATAGCCTTCCGTGTTAGTCGGCCTCGTATGATCCCTGTACCTGGCAGCCTACGTCAGCACCAACATACTGGTATTACAAAGCGCAATATCGAACCATGCAACATGGCACTTGTTCTCGCGCTTTCCACCAACGACTTGGGACAGATGCGACATGGCCAAGATGGAAGCACACCATCAATCAGACCTTCGCTCAAGACATGGTTGACACTGTCGGCGTACAATGTACCACCAGCACAGACGCGTCTCCTTGCATCCGAGTGATTGGGCCAGATGTGCGCTATCCCACTTCCATTAGCAGCTGTGCAATCTCACTTATATGTGGCGGCTGGTGTAACCGTGCAACAAGTGAGAGGGATGCCACCCACCGGGTCTCTGAGCCAGAGTCCCCGGACGAATAGCAGCAGCCCATCCGACCAAGCTAAAGAAACCTTTGTGCCGCGCCCCCGCTGAGCACATCAGCCCACCGTCGCCCCGTGGCACTAATACAACTCCGAAAGTACGAGGCCCCCGGCCGCCGAACTTCACGGGGGCCAGAACAGGCAGCGGCTGCCCAGCCCTTGCTGCTTCCTTTTTTTGCAGTTCGAGTGACCCCCGTCGAGCGCCAAATCAGCCACCGCCGTGTGGGATTTCTCCGGCCTGCAAACATCATGCTAGTCTAAGAACTTGTGTCCCATTTTGAACAGGTGGCGGGCCGAATTTGAACTAGTTGGACGACGATCCTTGTTCCGCGACATTGCCGGGTGCATCTCGCAGCTGTACAGATACTTGTCCGCACAGTACTGGCAAACTGCCGGCCAGCCCCGAGCCGCTCTATTGGATCGCCACCGAGGCCAGGGCTTGTTGGTGCCGGCATGAGCCAACCGAAGTCCCGGCTCCTTCATCCCACCCACGGGACGAAATGCGTTCAATTGTTCTTGGCTGACGGTTTCGAGACCAACTCTGGAAACTCGCATGATGTCTCAGTGGCAAAACATCAGAGATTGACAGGTTTGGACTTGTGAGCCGTGCTGGCAGACAAAGCCTAGCTCGTGATGTATCATATTTCCTTCGGTAGGCGCTACAGTGGCGAAAAGTCTGTCATAGTTTCCTGACTAATAAAGGGCTAGACTAATTATCAAGCAGAATGAGCGAGTCTTCGAGTATCAACACCGGACCAAGACTAATAAACCGATACTCTTACTCCTAATTACTCTCGGTCTACTGGGGTTGTCATCAAGACTCTGTTTCGACCATAGTGACCGCCTCAGTACGGAGACGCACATCCCTTACCCACGTCCTACAAAAAGACCAACCCCCGGTCATCTCGCTTCTGTCGGTGATATACATCAGGATGGGGACATCGGCGACCCTGGTCGCCTGGAGAAATTGACAAGCCTACCGCATCAATCTCATCATCTCATGCCAAACTAGCGACCCGCAAGCAGGGACATGGATTCGACCAGTGTCCCAAAACAGACCGAAAGAAACGAAAAGGAAAACTGATTGAGTCAGTTAGCACACCGTACCTGTACGTACTGGGCAGTGAAAAGCAATTTCCATCTGCTACAGAAGAAAGCACCGGCCAGCAGAATGGCGTCATGGCGCGCACCCCCGGTCACTGTTCCCTGTCCAGCTGGGCACTACTCTTTAGCTACTGTGATGCACAAAGAAGTCGCAAAATCGGCGTCGAACAAAGTTACGCCAGCGGCACGTCCGGCTAGAGTTATCGATCATTGGCGCGAACGACATATCGATGACCATGCTAGTAGGCTCGCGGGCAGCGGACTTGAGACCGCGCAGCTTGGAAGCTTGGCCCTTGTTGCAAGACAGAGAAGGCGGTATGACGGTGCATGAGCAGTGCGTACTCTATCAACTCTCATTTACAATAAATTGCCCAAAATCATCACGGCAGCTCAGACTTGCGCTCATCTCTTGCGCACTGCAGCTTCGTGGGGGGTCCTGCCAGGATGCTGGGTTGACAGTTGTGATGCGCACATGCCGTTTTACACGTCTCGAAGAACAGCTGCAAGGGTTCGAAGAGACTACAGCAGGCCATGCTCGAATATTACGCTGCCGACCCTTGCGATGCCTCACCGCATTCATTCTGTCTCGGGTGATAGATGTATTAGCGGCCCAAAGGTCTCTGACTTGGTAGGTGAGCGCCGGCGCCGTGCAGCTGAAGGCATCACGACACGGCACGCGACGCAAGCCTGCGCCCGATGCAACGCTGAGCCCTAGTACAGCCTCATATCTCATATTTGGTTTTCGCGAGGATGCTTGACTTTGCAGCCAGTGCGGCGGAAAGCGATGAAGACGTCGCACCAGCACGGTGACGCTGATGCGCCTCCTGCGGAAACTGACGGTGGCACTGAAGCAAATGACAAACTCAGTTCTCTGTTCAAAGATGAGCAACCGGATATCTACTTTGGAAGCTACTTGCAGTACAAAATGAGGCGGCTTGCCGTCAGCACTGACCATACGAATCCTTGTCCACCTAGCACTGCAAGTCTACAGATGGGTTTGTGAAGCTATTTCGACACCATCTAGATCAAGCTTTCTCACTGTTTATTGTTTGCTAGATCTCATGTTCAACGTGGATTGAATCCTGGAATGCCTCTATTTAGACGTAGCTTATACCGTTGTGTGGACTTGGGATGCCTGACTGACGTAATGGAGAACAGAGGCTTGCGGCCCGCAAAAGAGTTTGGTCTGCACCCGCAAGTCACGCAACTCACGCAAGGTTAGTCACAGTCACACCGAGAAACTGCATATTCACCCTTTCTATCAACTGCGCAGAGTCGAGGACCGGCTACGTCCTGTAAATCCCACCGCCCCGATTGTCGTCTATCTGGGTGATCAAACGCCTCCTTCGCCCGGTTGACCCCACCAAATCTGCACAACGACAGCTACCAGGACACGAGACACGAGACAGCGGCCTAAGGTCGGTGTTACAACATCCACAGAACAATTTCTACCTAGAAATGGCGGGAAAGAAGGGAGAAAACACCAAAAAAGTGGCGGGCAACGCCCGCAAGGCCGACGCTGCGGCCAAGAAGAACGCAGCCGCAGATGCCCAGCTCGAAGCTGTTGAGGAAGACAGCTGGCAGAAGGGTTCCAAGAATAACTCCAAGAAGTCAGTAACTGCACCTCGGTCAAGATGTCTATTCCAGTTGATGTCACCGCCATGTGAAACTCACACGGGATACTGCGACCCGAGACAGCGCTGCAGCATGCGGCTCGGCGCCGAGACGGCCTGTTGGCTAACCCAGTTCACAACTCTAGGGAAGCCGAAGAGGCCAAACGAGCGGAAGCCGCCAGGAAGAAGGCCGAAAAGGACGCGCTGATAAAAGAGGACGAGGAAGCGACTGGTGGGCGCGCCGAGGCCAAAAAGTCCAAGGCGCCCATCAAGAAGACGCGCGGCCTGGACCTGTCGCAGCTTGACGACGGGCCTAGCACGCTCAACGCCAGCGGTATCGACAACGCACTGGACGCGCTGTCGCTGACGACGGGCGGCGAGGCCAAAATTGAGACACATCCTGAGAGGCGCTTCGCGGCCGCCTACCGCGCGTACGAGGAGCGCCGCCTCGACGAGATGAAGGCCGACGGCAGCGGCACCGGCCTGCGTCTGGACCAGCGCAAGCAGCGCATCCGCAAGGAGTTTGACAAGAGCCCCGACAACCCCTTCAACCAGGTCACGGCTGCGTACAATGCTACGAGGGACGATAAACGGGAGGTGCGCGAGAGCGAGAAGAGCAAGATTGAGAAGCGCCTGGGTGCTTAGGCGGCTGCCTTTCTACGGGTTTTTTTTTTCTTGAGATAACTATACTTGGGATTCGAAAGGGTTTTGGAGGACGGACGGGTGACAAAAAATAGGCTTTACGTAGATTAACCGGATGTTCCGCGCACAAGATACAAACGACATGGAATATCGCTCAATATGTTTTTGAGCCTGTGAATGTGTTCTCGGTCTACGACAATCGCCGTCTTGGTCCTCCGAACGAGCAAGCTACCCCTCCCTCCATCCCGCGATCGACCCCGCCAACGCGCGACAAGTTTCGGCAGAATGCGCCACCGCTCATCTCACCGCCCGTCCAAGCAGGCCACATAGGCTACGGAGTGTCATCGGCGGCAGATGTTGTGAGCTTTCTGGCGTCATCATCTTTGCCGAAATGTCGGCATTGAGGTTGGCAAATTTACCGGCCCTGCGGAAGCAGCAGCTGCTTTCCGAATTGTACGCGTGCCTTCTCCTGTCCCGAGCGTTCGTCGAGTAGTGGCTAACTGTGCTTAACAGCACCGGCTTAAAGCAAGCATGTCCCTCCGGTGTGTTTGTCGCATTGATGCCAGGAGATTCGACTGTGTGGTCTACAGTCTTATTCATTCGTGATGGTAAGTCGACTGGGCTTGACAGCATCCCGTAGAGGATTGCGCTGACCGTTGTAGGACCCTATGCTCCCGCCATTCTACGATTTCAAATCCTGTTCCCCGAATCCTACCCCCGGCGCGCTCCTATGATCATCTTTGCGACCGACATCTTTCATCCCCTTATTACGCCTCTTACGACGTACATGTACACTACCGACATACAGGACAACGGAACCGTCAGCGCGACCGACGACGAGCGGCTGCCGCCAGGGGGCTTCAGCCTGCGCCATGGGTTCCCGGAGTGGTTTGGCAGGGTGCGCCGCAGTGCCGAGGCCAGCCTCTCTGCGCCAACAAGTCCCGTCGTCGAACAGACCCCCGTGTTTGCGAGCCCAGACCCCGGCGCTTCGAGTGCCGCGGGGCCCTCGTACATGCAGACCAGCCGGCCTGTAGTGGCGTCCATGTACCAGGTTCTCAAGTATATCAAAAACGCCTTTGACAAGCCAGAGGTGCTGGACGCGGTGCCCCTGGACGCGGCCGGAAACCCCGGTGCGTGGCACGCATGGAGGACGCACCGGCGGAAGCAGCAGGCGAAGCAGGCCGAGGGCGAGAAGCAGGGAAGCGACGGCGCCCCGGCGACACCGAGTCCCAAAAAGCCGGCGGGAGAGAAGAAGGCTGCCGGCCAAGCTGTCACACGGAAGCCTGGTGAGTGGAACTGGGATGGCGTGTGGGAGGACAGAGTGAAGAAGGGTGTGGCAACGAGTCTGTCAGAGCATGTCCTTTACGGTGGCACAACCATCAACGACGAACTGGCAAGTTTCCATTCTCCGCCCCAAAAAGGGCTGTTCGACTAACAAACATCAGATTCGATTTATCGCCATGGATGAAACGGAGGCAGAATCCATCAAAGATAACCTGCTGCGCACGCTAGGCACCTCGGTATAGCTCCGCACGCGCCTGCCTTCCTTCATTCACCCCTTTGGATAACAGCAGCATTGGAAGGACGAGGCTGCCATTCACGGAATTCGTAGTAGCATTACAAGTAATTAGATACCCCTGCCGATACAAAGCATTTTCATTCTGCAACATTCACCATCACAATCATCATCAGACCATTTTATCTTATTCCCACAACTTTGCTATTCTTTACACTTCTTGGGTCGTTATTTTCTATCTATCTATATTCCGAGCATCATGCCTCTCGACCTCTCGCCATACGTTACTTCCACTCCGCCTGGTCAGGATGCTTGGTCCAGCCGTCGTCCGGAAAATGACCGACCGAGCCCCTTGCGCATCTCGAAGCCGCCAAGCTCGACGGACCGCACGACAGACAGGCTTCATCAGCAGCATCCCGTCTACCCTGCTCGTGAGACTACACATCCGCTACAGAAACAAAGCGCCAACCGTCTCAATATCGCAAAGCGCCGAAGTCTGTGGGCCCTATCATCACGTCTTGTTGAAGATGAAGAGCTGCGCGCTGTTCCTCCACGCCCATGTTCGGTCGGTCCAAACGTGGCATTTGATGTACCTTTTCCTGTTGGCTCCGGCGACAAAAGCGAGATAATGAGCCCGCGTACGGCCGAAGAGGCAGAAGACATGTTGAGAGAGGCGAGCCGTACGTACTCTGGCGCTTCAGACAACTCCAACTCTTGGAATTCTTTCGTTTCTGGCGGCTGCAGTCTACATCAATCGCTAGGAACGCGATCCAGCTCGAGCGTCATTCGACATGTTTCTTCGTCAACAGACAGTCCCAACTGCACGATAAACATGGACAGCATCTTACCTCACGTCCTGTCTCCCCACATTTCGATCCATACAAACGGCCATAGTCGCTACTTTGGACAAGACCATGTATGGGCAACTATTGAAGTGTCCGGTATTCTATCGCATGCGTATTCGGCAGACGGGACTGGGGCCAAGCCAGCTCAGCCCAAGGCGGATGAACACCACTTGGGTCAGTATCGTTCTTTGTTAAGATTTGATTTCTGCTAATTCAAATAGATCTATTTTTCAAGCATGGGTGCCTGCATGATCTAAAAGTCGAGATTCTACCAGTGGAAGGGACCATAGTATTACAAGTCTTTCACGAGCAGTCATTTCCGACGTAAGTGAACTGATATGCTGCAGCCTAGCGGTGCTAACAAATTAGAATCTTGTATGCGGGGTCAAAGGTCCTTCTTCTGGCCCAGATCTGTATTGATTCCAAGTCGATTGCGAGACAAACCAAAGCACCCAAGAGACAGAACTCGGAGGAACTGATGGCGGATCTCGAAAGTCAGCTCGGAGATTCCCAGATGCCATATATGAAAGTGAGAATTACATACAGCCATTCCGCGTTTTCAGACTACTTTGGTCACGAGATACTGGTTGGCGTGGCTCAACGATGTACGAGACTAGAAACGACTGCGATTGGTGCTCTGAAGCGGCACAATGTTCGGTCCGCATGGTCGCCGCCACCGATATACACGCTCGAAAGTATTCAATCTGTAATGCAAAGACACTGGAAAGCAGATGTAGTTGCAGAATGGTTGGAGAGGATAAAGCTGTCCGAAAGGTATGCATATCGGAAAAGCTCTGGCCATCGCAATGTTTCAGAAACATCTTCACAAGACGCAACGCCCAAAGTGCCAATTCGCCGACCCGGCATTTCCATGGAGGATATGTGCCAGAGAATGACGGCGAGCAATTTGTCAGTGCCGCGGGATGAGGTGCAGTCGCCTACTCCTGGGGGCGAAAGACGTGATAGAAAACAGGTTCTAAATATGGGCTCACTGCGAAGCAGACCATGTCGCAGCCGGAACACGAGCAACACGACGAGCACGACAGGGTCATTGAGAAAAAGGAAATCATTTGCAGCAGGTATCTGGAGGAGCCTTACACCATCTATCAATGTGCCCAAGACTGACGGAGAGGAATCTGCGCAAGGCGCTTGGAGCTGGAATGCATGGTTCTAAAGTAGTGTAACATCAATTAAGTAGTAGCTTCAGCAAGTCGGATTTGAATTTGATTTTAGTATTTTCAGGGTTCGTCATGCTTGTGTTTATGTTATTGCAGCTCGTTCCTCCAAGGGATGGATACTTGAGCTCCTCGTCTGGAGACGGTGATGGCGGAAGCTTTGTTAGAATCTCGAATGGCAGTATCAATATCGAAAGCGCCTGTAGAGTTGACAACGGCCAGGGCGTAGGATCCAACAAAGGTGTCGCCGGCGGCGGTGGTATCTACGACAGTAGCCTTGAGCGCGTCGACCAGCGCACTCTTTCCATCTCGCGTTGCGTAGTATACGCCACGACCGCCCAGCGTAATAATGACATTGTGCACGCCTCTCTCGAGAAAGATGGCGCCGACACGCTTGAGGCCCTCTACGTCGTCGAGGTCGGACTCTTGGGCGCCGGACAGGATGGCGGCCTCGGTCTCGTTGACGACGAGGTGGGCGAGGTCCTTGTAGGCGGCGGGCGGGAGCTCCCGGGCGGGGGCGGGGTTGAGCAGGACGGGCACGTCGGCGCGGCGGGCGGCCTCGAGGGCCTGCATGACGGTGTCGAACGGGATCTCGAGCTGCATGATGAGCAAGTCGGGGCGGGGTCCGGGGATCTGGGCAAAGTGCTCCGGGCGGAGGGCGTGGTTGGCCTCGGGCGAGAGGATGATGCGGTTCTGGCCCGAGGGCTCGTCGACGACGATGAGGGCGATGCCGCTGCGCGCGTTGTCGAGCACGCGCACGCCGTCGACGTTGACGCCGTACGCGCGCAGGCTGTCGCGGAGCTGCGTGCCGAATGCGTCGGCCCCGACGGCGCCAATCATGGCCACCTCGGCGACGGCGTCGAGCGACGACGACGAGGAACGCGACAGCTTCCCGCACGCGACGGCCTGGTTCGCGCCCTTGCCGCCGGGGGACGTGGCAAAGTGGCTCGCCGTCAGCGTCTCCCCCGGCAGAGGGTGGTGCGGCACGTAGGACACGAGGTCCATGTTGAGGGACCCGAGGACGACGATGCGCGGAGCCATGGTGGGGGAGACGGGTGGGCGATTGGTTTCGGACGAGGATTTTTTTTGTTTGTTTTTACGGAAGTGAAGAAATGAGTACGTGGTTCACGGATTGAAACGTAGCAAGGAAAAAGAAAGGTAGAGATGGACAGACAAGACGAGGTTCAGTTTTGTAGACGTTGCACTCGTATGGTTTTTTGAGCACCACCCCACCTTCGTGACGTTTTCTAGCTGCCCCTCCACACTAGCGTAACAAGGGTTCGGGGTTGTCGACCGTGTTCCCCGATTCTGGTGGGCATTCATCTTTCCCATCATGACCTAGTTAACAAAAGGCAGCTTTTGGATCGCCCGAAACCGAGTCATGCCAAGCCACCCGGCGGGGGCGCATGGCCTCGACAACGTTGGCAACTCGTCACGGTCACGGCATGAAGAAGGCTGTGCTGGCAGAGAGTGCTCGGACCGCCAACGCATAATACGATTTTCAAGAAGAAGAAAAAAGATATCTGTTGGAGAATAGCATTCTGGTGCTGTACACGCGGTTTGCTTTTCCCCTTTGCGAGAGTCTTGCGGCTGATGGTTGTGGAACAAAGGCCTCGCCGGCAACATGGTACAACACCAAGACAGCGGATTGTCGCCTCGACCTTTACGAGATGGGTCCAGACATCAGAACCAGGTTGCACCCGTTTACTACCCAACCGGAGCTGCGCAATGGGGTTTGCAAAGGTGCCCTCCTTGCAAACTCCCCGAGCCGATCGAGGCGGGCAACGAAATGAGCAAGGAGAGCAGACTGTGGGGTCAAGATATCAAGGACCCTGAACGAGCCGGGACCGAGACAAAGAATAGGGAAACGGGAAGGAAGCAGATAAGACGAGATGGCGACAAGGCACCATGTTACCCCCACGTCAGAGTGAGACATTCTTACAGTTGCTGCTAGTCAAGACATGCCCAGCTCCCTCCCTGTTGTACGGATCCGTACAGATTCCGGTTTTTTGATAATGACCGCAGCCCGCGCCACTTTTCAAGCGTCATGGTAATATCTTTATGCAAACCATCGGGACGTCGTGGCCCCCCCCCCACGCCCCCCGGAGACTCAACCGCACAGACGAGCAAACAACAGCTACAAACAAAAGCGGATTTGTATATAATAATACCGCCTCTGGCCGCTTCTCCAACTCAGCATCTCACACCCTTGTGCTTCTAAGAACACGCAGCTCCCTCCGCCCCGAAAAAGCATGCATCTCCTCCATACATTTCTGCCGTTGCTGGCGCTCCTCAGCGCTCCCACCACCACCGCTGCCGCCGACGACGCCACCGAGGCGCTACCGCCGAGCCGCGATCCGTGGTACACGCTCCCCGCCGGCGCCGACTGCGCCGGGTCGCCCGGCAAGGTGCTCCGTCTGCGGCGCGCGCCGGACCGCGCGCGCGCCAGCCTGCGCGGTATCCGCGACGCCTGGCAGGTGCTCTTCTGCAGCACCGACAGCCTGGGCGGGCCGTCGTTTGGCGTGACGACGGTGCTGGTGCCGCACGGCGCCGACGGGCGCGCGCTCGTGACGTACGCGCCGGC